ATATATATATATATAATCGAATTGAAAAAAATTACAAAACAAATGACAAATGTTGGCTGCCGGGGGGTGGGGGCGAGTCCATTGCGTCGTTCGCAGACTTGGCCTCCCAGTGCAGCGAGAGCTGAAGTAGGTGGACGCAGATGCAGGTCTCCCTCCGACGCTGCGGCGCCCGGGTCGAAGCCATCCCGGCTGGTGCTTATCGCAAGCATAATGCGAAGACACACAAGCATAAAACGTAAACCTTCTGTGGGGCATTATCTGCATTCTTTGACTCGCGGTATACCTCAATAAAGAATATAATCACAAAACGTAACCGATAAATAACGTCAACGAAGCAGAACGCTATAAAATCGTTGCAACAAGAAAATAAGACCGTTGCAAATCTCCTTTGCCTTCTTATCTTATGAATCCATATAACAGCATCCAATTTCAGCAACCACATAAAATGGTATCTTTTATGAGTTATCGGTTGGTTTTGAATATAAAAAGACCCACAAAATACTAACAAATTCTGTCAATGAAACACCAAGACGAAAGTTCAAAAAATTTGTGTCGATGCGGGTCACATTGCTTAAGTAGACAATGATTTATTACTACTTGATGGCAATACTTGGAAAGATCTTCGACCTCCTCTTATTTATCACCGTTGGTCATTGGACGAAGAAGCATTTAATAATTGCCCTGTCCCTAAAGGCACTTTATAGCAGGTTTAGGGAAAAGACTAAAATGAGAGGCAAGAATTTATATGTATAAAATATATCAAAATAATAGTTTTTAATATCAAAGCCTATTATACAGTAGTATCCAATTAGTAATAATTAATTTTTACTAAAGAAAATTCTAACTCACGTGTATTTTACTTCCAAAATGAACCAAAAAAACATTAACTGTATCATTAATTTTTTTTATTGAAAATAGTAATACAAATTCCAATTCATCGTGAGAAGATGAGTAAGACCTTCTGATTAGGATTCCAGACTCTTTGTAAATGTTTGCAGACTTCATGAAAGTATCAATCCCACCACAAGAAATAAATCCTCAGTTTTTTTTCGGTATTCACAATCATTCTTTACGTTGAGTTGGCTACGAACAATGAGATCAATTAAGTATAACAGATATTCACAACGCATTTACCAGAAATAACTATTCCACTCATGAAATTAAAACCAATAGCGTTTACCTATACGTACAAAACGCCACAATCAGGACGGGACATCTCAAACAGTTTATCGCTTTTTCTGACCGATTTTTCTTACCGCTTCTCCCTATTGACCAATCATAAACCGTGACTCATCTGTCTTAGGACGCGATGTACATTGATCGCTATGTCGATGTCCAATAAACAGCGAATGTACAATAACATAACCTCTTTAATTTTAACATACGCTTTCAGTTATTTTCAATATTTGTCGTATTTTGGAACTCTGTTGGATATAATTTTTTCTCGTGGAATAGTCCTATTAAATACCATTCGTGCTTTGAAAATTCGTAGATTAATTCCCTCCTCGCTCCTCGAATCGGGAATTTATCGACAATTTCCAAAGCATCATTCCTGGTATTACCTATGATAAATATTGACGCGAGCTAAATATACCTCAGCAGACTGTTGAGTGTGGTAGCAATGGTTGAAGCTGGCGCGCACGTGTCAATTAACCTCGGTCCGGAAGCGGGGCTGGGGGTGGGGCTGGGATGAGGGGGAATAGAGGGGTGGTGGCATCGCATCTGCTCCCACCTGCGAGCGCCCTCCCCCTCCTTCCCCCTCCACAACCGCCTCGCACGCGCCGTTGTCTCAGCACTCGCTCCCCTACGACAGCACCTCCGACTCCCCACGACGTGCCCGTCACTGACGGAACCACGATGGGCAGAAGAACGGTTCGGGAGTTTTCCCTTAAATAACGAGTTTCTCTGGAAGATGTCCATTCCTGTATATCTTGTGGCAAGACCTGTCAGCAAGAAATCTGCCTTATTTCGTTAACAGACTTTTCCACAACTTGTTTTAACTTAAAAAGTTTGTACTTTTTCCGCCAATAAAACAGTGTCTGAAGAAAGCCTTCTTTGGCTCTAACATCCTACCAGCCTCAATGTTTAATAAAAGGAACGCACTCTCTGACGACCCTGTTCAGGCCTGTAGAAGACTGCATCACTCTGAGATGTGTATTCTTCGTCAGCCACATGAGCCGGCAACAAAATGTTATTGCCCCAAGTGCCAGTTTAGTGCAGGTAGTTAAAAGTTATGGGTAGTTTTCATAAGTGGTTTATATTGTTTTGATATCACCATTGAAACGAAAAGCAAGAATTGAAGCACTCGGCAACATATCAAAACACAGATAAGAATATGTGTTTGAATTAAGTCATCAAAAGAATGCAACAGCCAAACAGGTCTAAATATTTAATTTCAAAGAGTCCGCATTGTTTACGTTCACCTTGTTTTTTATTTAACTCGCAAATAATTCAACTTTAATCACATGAAGTTATATTTCTGAAAATGAATTTTAAAATTACTTTTCTATTATTATTAATTATTATTATTATTATTATTATTATTATTATTATTATTATATAGCCCGTTACAGTTCCGTAAAGGGCAAGGGCCCCCGGTTGTCGGGTGAGTTATATAATGGTAGAATTCCCGAGCACACAATTCGGGAACTTCCTTCTACATACGCCATTTACATGCAAAAAGGAAATGTAAACGCTATTTACACACAGAATAAGTAGCACTTCACTTTGTCACTGTCAATTTTAACACTGTTCACTTAATCGAATACGTTAATAAACGAATACGCTTTACTTAAATCAAATTAGCTAATAGTTCATCTAACTACTTTCTTATATTACAAGTACTTTATTACATTGATTTCATACGGACAGTCTCCAGATGGCATAATAACACAAATTATTGGGAATACTACAAAACCAGTACACATTAGCCGATATTTATGAAATGAATGCGAATAAAGTTCAGTGTTTCTCACCGACAATGCATCAAAATTGTTTCGGAATCAATGCCTGTCAAACACATGACTGAGCAGTACTCGTATATTCTCGACCAAGAGACCCCGCGACCTATTGGAAAGAGTTGCGGCGTCATTTGGTGCCCTTCCTCTGGGCCAAATGCCAATTTGCTTTCGCACACGATAAAAATACTCAAGACTCTTGATTCTAAAAATCAAGGTTCCAAATGGAGTTTTTGCCGCAGACTTTGCGCCCTGCGGTCCTCCAGAACTTCCATAGTTCAAAGAAACTCAAAACGCTAAAGCACCCTTAATGCAGTTTGAAGTTTTGCCTTCGCACTGAATCCCGCGAACAAGTTTTGAAAATTTTACGAAACACACAGAAAAATCATAAAATTTAACTAGTTTTGTACAGTTCCTTTTGATATGTTGTATACTCATTTCTCTTCATTTTGCTAAGTACCGTAGTTTTTTATGATATTTTTTAAACAATATTTTTCAATCAGATATTACTTGTCAATAAAGTACATGATTCTTTGAAAATTTAGACCAGAAGATACGATGAATTCAAACGAATACTAAACATATATTTCTGCTTTTCGAATTCTTGCCAGCAAACGAAGCAAAGCGTGCATTTTCCCACTGTTTACATTCGCTTCTGTAATGTTTTTACACAATGTTTTCATACTTGATGTTAGTTGAATTCATAATTAATTAACTTGCATTTATTTTACGCTATAATAGAAGTGACTAATTCAACTACGTGTAATATATTCCTAATATTTAAAATATATTGAGATACATACACCAGTTGCAAATACGTAAAAATATAAAGCTGAAAAACGAGATAATATATTTCAAAACAATTAAATATGTATTTTCATTTAGGTTTCTTTTTCCATGTGAAGATGGTAACAGTACACAAGTTATGTTACTTCATGCAAGGAAATGAAATGTCTGCACATGTAAGTATAAAAGTCAAATGTGCTTTATTTGCATATTCACAAGTATAAATTTACATACAAATAAATTCACATAATTGATTATGTGATTTTTTTTGAAATTACAGTCCTATATTTCCTGGGACAAAATTTAAACATGATGCCTCAAAGATTCTTTCTTCAAAACTTCGTTCAATAAACTAAACCCCTCATCGAAGGCATTTTCATATTTAAAAAAATCAATCAAAAATTTGATGCCGAATGAAGAAAATAACTTCATTCACGAATACTACAATTGTTGTATATCAGTCAATTTCGCATTCGCAAAATCAATTGTGAAACCGCGACAAATTCACAAATCGGTCATCCATCAAATCGGTCAAACCATCAAGTTTTCTACCGAAAGTCATTACGATACGAATATCGGAGCATAAAATGAGTCTGGCGCAGAAACAAAACTTCGCTATAACATTCTAAAAATATAAGTAAAAGAGAAATAAAATCAATTTTTCGACAAAAAATTAAAATATGTTATCACAAATATTTTAAATGGTAAAATAAATGTTGTTTCGTTTTCATCTTTGCAGATATTGGTTATAGCCCACAGACGCCTATTTCCCCCAGAATACGAAACCCGCCACCTCCCGCGCCTGCGCAGAGCCGTCAGTCGTAGTTGGCGCGGCGCACGCAGGGGGCGCCGGGGTCGCCGCGCGGCATGTCGTGCAGGCGCGCCACCAGCTGCGGTCGCTCTATGCGGTGGCCGCGCGCCGCCTCGAACGCCGCGATGGCGTCGGCCGGCGCGAAGCCCAGCCGCCGGATCATGTACGAGCACACGAGGAAGCCCGTGCGGTTGAGGCCGTGCGTGCAGTGCACGCCGATGAGCGCGCGGCTGCCGGGCCGCGCCTGCTGGAACTCCTTGACGACGGCGCAGAACTCTTCTACCACCGCCTCCGACGGCACGGCGTGGCCCGCGCAGGACAGCTTGCGGTACTGCACGCCGCGGCTCGTGATGCGCTGCCGCGGGTAGTACCTGTTCAGTTAATCAATACTCTGCGCTCAAAGGAACACCGAAAAAGAAACCTTGGAGTACACTAGATCCATGATACTGTAACACGTTTCCTCAAGTTAAAAAAAAAGAGAAGCGTTGGAGTATATCGTTGGAGTATAGTGAACTGAAGGGCTCGCGAGTAAAAGATGGGAATTCTCAAAGATATCGTACCTTCAGATACACTGGAGTCATCATGGCAACATTGCTTAGCAATTGACAGTTACTTGAAGATAGGGAAAAGGTGTCCCCGAAACGCCATTTTTTATTTTTAAATGTTAAAATTAAAAAGAAAAGGTTTACTGCCTTTATAAACGGGTTATGAACCCATTAGCTTAATTAGCTTATCTTTTTATTGAATTTTAGTGTATGATGAACGAAAAATTTTGAATTTTTAAGTAATAGTTTAATTCTGTTAAATTCAATGAAAGTAATAATAAATTACATGATTTATCTTATCAGATAATCCTTTGTCAGACATTTCACTAATTATTTATGTAAGTTTTTTAAACGTAATTTAATTTTATAACGTACTTCACGTGGTTCACTCAATGTTGTGCTGGTTTAAATATGTGTAGTCTCTTTACTTACATCATTCACCGCTCCTCCAAGATCAAGTAATGTCTCTCAATAACTATGTTGAACAAGAATACTGATAAGAACATTAGGTAGGAACTAATTACTTCACTCAATGTTGCGTTGGTTTTAACCATGTGTTAGTCTCGTTAATTTACAACTTCACCGCTCTCCAAGATCAAGTATTGTCTCTCAATAACTATCTTGAACCAAGATACTGATAAGAACATAGGTAGAGACTATTTACTTACTAATATTGTGTTGTTATTTACCGATGTGTAGTCTCGTTAATTTACAACTTCACCGCTCCTCCAAGATCAAGTAATGTCTCTCAAAACTATGTTGACAAGAATACTGATAAGAACATTTGTAAGATTGATTAGTTCACTCAATATTGTGTTGGTTATACTGTGTGTCTCGTTAATTACAACTCACCGCTCCTCCAAGATCAAGTAAATGTCTCTCAATAACTAAGTTTAATCAAGAATACTGATAGGGCAGTGAAACCAGCAGGGCGTACCTGTTGGTGTTCGTAAGGTCAATGACGAGCCCAGGTCGGCAGGCGGTCCAGCAGGTCGTCGGGACTGAAGCGCTGCGCCTCCGCAGGAGTTGGTTGAAGTCGCTTCGGCAGCGGCGTCTTGAACGCCACGAACGCGTGCCGCCACGGCTGCCGGTCTTCGCGTATTCCAGCATCCGTCAGGGATGCCGCTGCGACTCGGGCATTTTCGGTCAGAAGCTTCTTTTTTCTGCGATAACATGTTGCAACTTTGAGTCTAGCGACGATTGGGGCGACAAGCTGCAGAACATATTAAACAACGCAAAAATGAATATCAAGTTGAAACATGAAAACTTAAAAATACCTTTCACATAGTATTGTGCTCCGTACTCATCGATAGCTGCTTATAAGAAGAAAGTGATCAATGTCTTTCGTAATTTCTGACAGAAGTTCATTATATAATACGGAAGAAAAAAAGCAAGCCTTCGAAAACACATTATCTGTTTTGAGGTAGAAATCTAGCCGTTCTTCAATTGACAATATTTGCTGAACGCATTAAAAAGGGATAATGAAATGTATGATAAATATAGCGCCGTAGACTCAATAAAAGGCGTAAAAATATAAAAAGTGAAAGCAAAAACCAATCATTATGAGCATTTGTTTCATGCTCATACACACAATCATTCCATTTTCGTGTTATTTACAAAGATATAGAATTAATTTCAAGCGTTAGAGCCTGTATTAGTTACTGCAAACTGTGTGAGAGAGAAACAATGTTACTTAAGGGATACCATGAAAAAAATAAGAACTTTGATATTGTGTCAAAACTTGCAGCAATTTTACAATTCATGGCATCAAAGAGAAAACCTTTTAAAGGTAGTTTAGAAGTAAGAAAATGCTAAGACAGAATGAAATTTAGTGTAAACACTAAAAAAAAAGTGATTTTAATTGTCCTGTTTGTTTATAATATAAGCGAAACCATTAAAAACATTAAGTATTGAATTCATTACAGACAGCAACAAGTACGCCATTAACTACGTTTGGCTGCCAAATGAGAACGCCTAAAATCGCAACATAAAGAAAACTCAGTAAGGACCACACAAAGGGCGGGGTCGGCGGTTGAGCTAAAAAAGCGGCGGCGAGGGGGCGGGGCGGGGGTGGAGGGGGAGCGCGAGAGCGCGGGCGGTGCGCCGCTAATAACGGGCGACCGTGGAGGGTGGGATGGGCGGGGGGCCGGGCGTTTTTCGCGCAAGATTACAGCGCCGCGAACTCTTCAAACGCGGCGGGCGGCCAGGGCCTCTATTTAGCGCCACCGCATCATCGCCTGCCGGCCGCCCCCCCCCAAGCCCATGGGGACGCGCACGCGCCACCCAGCACGGCACCCGCCCCGGCCCCTCGCGCTTCCATTCGACCACGCTTCGCCTTCTCTGCAAGCGATGCACCTCTCAAAGAGACACGCATGCGTCACTTTTCTCTACACATTACTTCGGCTGGCCGCCTGATCCGTAACTTTTCTGTACCAATGAAAAATGACGGAAAAAATGACCGTGTGAAACGGGCTTAACGGAGGCCAAGCGTCCTGTTTTCAAATATACGTTTGAAATTTCGGAAACGACTAAGTTACCTTGCACTAACACGGAATGATGCAAGTATGTTGACTCTATGACTATTGAATTATTTACTATCGTGTTGTCTGCATGGTGTCAGGTGAGAATTGTGTTACATAGCACTTTTCGGTTGCAGGAAGTTGATTTCCTAGACTAGGCAGGTTATCGCTACTTCAGCGTCAATCATAAAACCTCAAACACCCACCCCCATCCAGTTTCCCTGATACATTCAGCAAATGCTGAGATGGCCCCTTGCTTAGCTTCTGGACGTAAATGTAGCTTCATTATGCTTTTGTTGAACTCGCCTTTTGCTTGTAGTAATAGGAGTACAGGTAGCAATGCAGAAAATAAAATCTGCAGTTCGTTTACCTTTGCAAATAAGTTTTCTATAACTTGGGAACGAAAATACTTAGGTTTTTAAAAGTTGCTAATCTCGCGCTTTCTTAAATTTTATTTTTAATTGTTTATTTATTTATCTTTGACTTTTACTCATCTTCCAACTATATTTATTGTTAAAATGATGGGAAGGAATTTTGAAACTTAAGAAAACGTGCACAGATTATCATCTCCCCCGTAAGTCCTACTCAGTTTTTACTGTTTTTGACTAAATAAATCTAAATGTAAAATGCGGTGCTCACACCGACAGCATCGAAGTCACATGGAGTACGGTTAAAAGAAAGCTACGTCGGCACCACTGCAAGTACCAAAATGAGATATTATTTGTTTGTACGCATGTGGTTTAGGAAAAATTGACAATGTAAACAAGATTTGTTATATACTTTTTAATTCTATTAAACAAGTATACAATCCAGGTAATTTAGTGGAGTTTTAAATAGTCGTGTACTTTGTTTCTATAATTGTGTGATTTGCTGGGTAGCAAGGGTTTGGGGATGGCAACCCCCAATGGTGTACCATTAACACTTTAATGCCCAACAATTTTGAGTCTCGCCTATTGTTAAATCCGTGTGCGCTGCTTCATTGTTGGGTCTCTCTGATAGCAAGAATTTGCGACTTTTAATACTAAACCTGGAGTGTACTACCATAGACATAATACTGTAGTTCATTACTCTATGGTATTACGTCTTAACGATCTCGGCTAAATCGACAACTAGCAACCAGCGTTCGGAATAGCGTCTGCAACACCGATTCTAGGGTGAGCATTGGCTGTACCAGGAACATGCGAGAAGAGTTACGGCATTTTTTAATATTTAATTTTAATTCTTAATATTATATTATTTTTACTACGAGGGCTCAAGAACTAGTCAATCGTATGTTTTCATTTTCAACACATGAGAGTATTTTAAAACAGTTTAACACGGCGGCCACGCCATTTTCAGCTAGTAAATTGTGGAATAGCCAAGATTTGGGGTCGGCAGTCCTTTATAGAGTATTGTTAAAATAGTAAAGTAGTAGAATATTTTGTAAAACGAGTGTTTAAATATATCGCCCAGATAATTAATACTTTGCTTATATCGTTTACCAGACAATCAGCGGTGAGTGACAGATACAGTCATTTGAGAAAGTGTTGAGATGGCTCCTTTTTTTGCTTCTGGATATAAATGTTTCTACATTATCTGTGCACGTCTTCTAGAATTCAGTGTGAAATATAGTTATTCAAATTATCGTTCTCCATGTGTCGCGGCAGAAGTATTATTCCTTCACAAAGAACTTGATGAGGGATAAGAGCCCAAATCTATAGCTAATTTACCCTTGAATATAGATTTTATTACATCGAAGCGAATATTTTGTTAACAATCTTTGCAAAAATGTTCATTTCTTTCTGCATTCAGAATTTAACTTGTATATGGTTTACGGGAGGGATCACAGAATTATGAAAACGTGCACAAAATTTACTTCCCGTACCGCGTCATAAACAATTTTTAACTGTTTTTGTCGTAAAATAAATAAATACAATAATACAGGAGGCCTTGACTGAGTACTACCACAAACCCAAGATTATATATTGATTACATCCTTATTGCCTTTGAAAATAAGTACAATATTTCTACTACCTTTTAAAATTGCGCCTCTTTTTGTTTGGACGATCGCCGGTAATATTACTTTACAAGTCCTTCCAATGAACACTACCATACTTTGTTAACAGGTGTCATCGTTTCAGAAGACAAGATATTATATTCATATCTCGTGCACCCCTCTGTACTGCAGTTACCCCGGTGCTACTGCAGTAATCACTGTTGACAATGATTCCCCATCTACTGTTGCACCCTACTTGCTCTGGTTTCAAACTTCGACTATAATAAAGTCGCACCCTGCGAAGACTATACTCTTTTGGAGTTAATTGGAAACTAATTTCGTATAATATTTAAGTAGAGAAACGACCCTTTTTTGTCAGGAGAATCAATTTCAGCCATTCTTTAGCTTACGAACGGTTTAACTAACTTACCACCGTGATTTGCCAATATTTGGGACTCGCGTGAACAACTTTAGTCAAATCATTCTCAAATCCGCCCCTTACCAAGCTTACTTTCGACATCAATTCACCTGAGCTTTCATGATCTTTCCCATCCCCGAAACATAGACTTTACATTTGTTTGAATTATTTTGGGTTCAGTTTTCTTTATTGCTTCGATGTAATCGATCATCTTGCGTCCAAAGTCTTCGAGAGGGCTGAACGTATTGTAATAAAACTGGTTAGGTGAGATCTGGGCTATAAAGATGTGACACCACTTTCCAACCAATTTTCGTTTCTCCCATTCTTTGCGCCGTATTGGGGCACGCGTTGTCATGCAAGAGAATCGCACACTTCGTCAGAGCACGAATGATTGGATGCACACTTACATCATAAATATTGCAGAAAGTAGCAAATTGGGAAATTTTGCTTCGCCTATCTTAGCAAATGTCATCTTTGATGTGATTTCGCAGAACGATAGCAGTCGAAACTTCAACTGCTCTGCCA